CTTTTGATTAATGTTAGTTTCCACCCTCCAAGCTACCCCATAAATTGTGAGATAGGCACCTAGTGTCTAGACCTATATTTGGGATTTGGACAAATCAAACACCTAGAGTGATGTAGGAAAAATTAGGACTAATTTAATTACTTATAGCTTTGAACTAAATTAGTGATTCTTAAATATCAAACCTAAGAATTGTGACAGAAAACAAAAGAATCACTAGAAGTAACACCTAGGATCCCTTAAGCATGATATCTAAAGCATCATACTTAGATTTTGTTGTACCACACAACCAAGGTATTGAGAGAACTGTCATGATAGTTATTCACAAAAGGCTTACCCTCAAACTAGAGTCACAAAGGTACTATAATTTTGAATGTAAAGTCTAACCTGGCAATAACTAAGGAATCCTAATAAAAAAAGACTTGAAAATTAAAAGAATTAAAACTCTAATAAAATGCTGAAGTACTAAAAGTTGAATAATAAATTCAATTAATCAAATAATTTTATGTCTAATTAATAATGATTAAAATAATTTCTAATATTTTTCACAAATCTAAGATAAATTCATTTTCTGTCATTTTCTCTAGTTAGGATAAATGTATACTCCATTGTTCTTCCCAATTAATGTTCTTTGATCAATACTTGGAAACCGGCCTGAATAAGATAAAAACTGATTTGGAAGAGGTTGAAATGTCCAGTGAACCAGTTTGGTCCAATCTGCATGAATTGGTCGAAACAGCAAATCTGGACTAGTCTCACTCATGGTCATGATTGCATGAAGCTCACACGACAAGCTCCAATCATTAGTGGGTGTCAGGATTCCAACAATAAACTCAGCTTCAGGCAGTGGTTGCAGATTAATAGACAGTATGCTATGGCCGAAACATTGCAACCAGTTGATTCAGCAGCAGGGTGGTATTGCGGTGGCAAGTGATGCACTTTTCTGATGTATTCCCTGCCGCAGCTACAAGTATGGCGAGCTGGACTTGTCTGAGGTCACTATGGTGACAATAACAGTCACCTGTGGTCTGAGATGGCTGACAGTTAGAGGGTCTGGTTTGTGATTTTGTTCTTAATTTTCTTTTTTCTTTTTTTTCTCCAGTACCAGTTGATGTATGAAAGACTAGGGTTAATTTGACTATTTATATTTGGTGGATATACTTAGGAATTCTTGTTATTTCAAAAAAAAAAAATTAGGAATTCTTAGATATTGCACCAAAAAATTGGGACAGAAAAAATAGAAAATAATTAGGACTCACAACAAGGATCCCTTAAGCGTAACATCTAAGATGGGAGTTTCCTCAAGCATCACACATAAGATTTGGTTGTATAACACAAACCAAATATTCAGAAAAATCTTGAGATATTTATCCATTAAATGACTATCCTTAAAGTTAGAATTAAAAATGTATTTCCCAATGCTCAAATATTGACCATAATTCTAACTGTAATTGTAGAATACTAATACAAAAAATACAACTTAAAAGAATTTTAACTACAAATAAAATCCTAAACTCACTAAAAATTGTAATAATAGATTCCTATATAATACAACAATTCTATATGTAAAGACCTAAGCTATTTACAAAAATTGAGGAAAAATCTACTATGCAGTATAGAGATTGCACCACCTACATGCATGCACAAAAAGCATCAAATGATCTTTTTTAACTAGCTACTCTAGTCTTAATCCTTGAATTGATAGCTCCCACTATAAGTTTCCTGCATATGAAGACTGAAGATGGGAAAAAAATGGATAATGATTCACCATCAAAGAACTCCAGTTTCAAAATTTAAGAAAACAATATTTGGAAAAATGGGAAAGCAGAGGTGAGATCATCGATGTGGAGATCATTAGGTTTTTCACAAGCTATATTTGGAAGAAATAAATCACAGATTGTTCATTGAAGGTACAAAGGAGGCAGAGACAAGGCGAGCAGTGTGGGACTTGGGTAGTGACAAAGCACCAAGCCCTCATGGATTTATTATAGAGTTTTTTAAGGAACACCGGGATATTGTGAAACTGGATTTCATCAAGGTATTTGAGGAATTTTTTATCAATGGCAAAATATGTAAAAGCATTCTACTTTCATCACCCTAATCCAAAAGAGATAGATCCAGGAAGGGGTCTGATTACAGACCAATAAGAGATATAGTGACAAGCGTCTATAAAATTATAACAAAGGTTTTATTCCTAAAACAGAGAGAATCTTTTGATCATATAATTTCCATTCATCAGAGTGCATTTGTGGGTTGTAAAGAGATTTTATGCGTCTTTAGTGGCTAATGAAGTTGTTGAATACACAAGGAGATCTAAAGGGAAAGGCTCGTATTGAAACTAGACTTTGAAAAGGCACATGATAGGATGAAATGGAATTCCTTGATAGGGTAATGAAGAGAAAACGGTTTAGGTATAGATGGAGAAAATGGATCTAAAAATGTTTGACCACTTTCTTATTTCTTGTGATGGTTAAAGGAAAACCATAAGAATGGTCAAAGCCTTAAAAGGTTTGAGACAAGGGGATCCTTTGTCTCCTTTCTGTTCATTCTTGTGGTTGATGTTCTTAGTAGAATGCTCTTAAAGGTTGAGAGGAGAGAATGTGTCAAGGGGCTGAAGGTAGGGAAGGATAGTGTTTAGGTGTCACACCTACAGTTTGCTGATGACACAATCTTATTCTTACGGCATGATAACCAATCCATTTCCCAGGTTCTGATCCTCATTCTAAGCTTTTGAGGCAATTTCAGGTCTAAAGATAAATCTTGGCAAGAGCAAGCTAATAGAGATCAATATGGAGGAGGATACAATAGATGACTTAGTAACAGCAATAGAGTATGGTAAGATGGAGTGTCCTGCTGTTTATTGATGGGTCCCCCCCAGAGGAAGCCCGTGATGCAAACATTTTTCAAAGAGAGTTGACAATAAGATTGCTAAGCAATTAGAGAGTTTGAAGGGAGGCCATTTTCCCTATAGAGGGTAGAGTTTCTTTAATTCAGGCATTTCTTTCTAGCATCCACCGCAGCAAGAGGGACGGTTAGGGTGTCTCTGCTGGAAGATATGTTTCTCATTGAAGTCCTTGGAAGGCCATCACCCTATTGTTCCTACCATATATACGAATACAAGTGGGAATTGGTCTTTCGTTGAGGTTTTGGGAAGATTGTTGATTGGCCAATCAATCATTAGGCTCTTAGTTCCCAAGATCAATCAATCTTTCGTTGAGGTTTTGGAAAGACTGTTGATTGTCCAACCAATCATTAGGCTCTTAGTTAATCATTTTTTTTAGATAACTTAGTTCCAAGATCATACAGGCTCTTTTCAAGAAATCATGCTACATATTCCACTTCACCACACCACTGGAGGGTATGACATCTTGGAATTTTCATTTCTTTTAAAACATTTCAGATAGAGAGAGGCTTAACATATCGATCCTTTTGGATGCACTGGCACCAATAAACATTTCTACCCAGCCTGATAAAAGATTGTGAAACCTGGATTCCTCAGGCTCCTTTATTTGCAAATTCCTCATTGAATACCTCATAAATAACATCCCCCCACTGACCCATTGCTCAATGTTGCTAAGGATTTTGGAAGCAGTTTCCTTCTAAGGTAAAGCTCTTTGCATGGGTATCGATTCATCAAAAACTCAACATGAATGATCTACTTCAAATACAATGTCCTAATCGTTTTCTTTCTCCCAAAGGGTGTATTCTATGCTTCCATTTGGCGAAACACATGCTCTTTTGTTCTTTCATCTTGAGGTGGCTTGGAGGTTGTGGACTGATGTGTTTCAGTTGTTTGATTGTTTTTGGGTTTTGCCACCTACTGTGGAGAGCTTCTTGTGCACTTTTATGAATGAGGATGGGATAAGGAAGGCTGCCAACCCTTTGTGGCACGGGGTCCTCTTTGCAAGTCTTTGGTACCTATGGCTAGCATGGAACTCGTGTATTTTTAACAGCAAGAATACTTCATATTCAAGAGTTGTGGGAACGGATGAAGTTTTTGGCTTCTCTATGGGCCAAAGGGCATGGATTCTTTCCTGATATCAGTATCACTGATCTTCACTGAAGTTGGGATACTATCATACACGACTTGTTTTTTTTTAAATAAAAGAATATTAGAATTAAAAGTTATCAAAAAAGTACCGCCCATATACAAAAGGATGTTTCATGTCAATTAACATATTAACAACCGCTCCAATATCTTCTATTGATAGTAAATTGTGACCCAAGAATAAGGAGCCAAAATAGTGTAACCATTTATCTCTAACATTCAAAAGAGTATTTTCAATACCCTCAAAAACACAGTTGTTCCTCTCTTTCCACAAAATCCAAAAAATAGTGAGGGGTATAAGGCAAGCAGCTTTGTTATAAGAAAGTAGACTTTCCCATGCCAAAAGTTCTTTATGAATAGAGCCCGCCATTACTCAACTTATACCCATCAAGCTGTATATTGTATACCATAAATCTGTAGAGAAAGGACACCATAACAGAATATGGTTGCAGCCTTCAGCATTGCATTTGCAGAGGAAACACCGGTTGACCAAAGTTCTGCCGCTTCCCATGAAAAGAAAGCAATCCTGGGGGGAGCATTTGTCTTCCATATAGATTTAAATGGAAATGATAATTGCTGTTCAGAATTGTTCCGGTCCCAAAAACCTGCAATCTTTTCATAGAAAGAATCGATGGAGAACCTGCAATTTCCATACACGACTTGTAGTTTTATGTTTATTTTTTTTTATCTTGTCTTTTTATTTTCCTAGCTGTTTTGGGTCTTTTTTTTCCTCTTCCGTTCCATGAGGAGGTTATGCTTTCTTCTTGATTTCATTCCTTCTTTCCATTCTTAATAATATCTTCTTCTTTGATCCAAAAAAGAAAATTAAGAAACCAATAAAACCAACAATAAGATAATATAGTAGTCATTTTCATAACCAGTTTTAGTTATGCCAGCCCTAAAATGTATCTAAGAAGCAACTGCAAAAAGCTGATTACAAAAGCAGTAAAAATACCTTGTCTGTTCCATAATAACGAACTATGTTTTCGTGTTCAAACTGACTTAGAAGCAAAATCTCCTGAGATTGAAAAAAAAAAAGAAAGAAAATGAGGCATACAATTAGGAAATGAGAAGCTTGAATGTGAAAAGCTATTATTTTGAGTATGATAAAATAAAAATGAAGGAAAGCTTAAAAAGTGAACTACTCCAATCAGAACATGCAGAAGCTTATCTCACCCGCTCAAGTTGGGAAATGCTTTCCTCTGCCTGACTCCCTTGATCAAGCAGTGAAACTTCTTTCACAGCAAAAAAGAATCCATCACTGGGAAAAAATAAATAAATAACTTAGTAACAACAATTGACAAAGCATAGAAGCAACCAAAAATTTCTCCTTTGTCCACCAGAAAGCATGTAACCAACCAATAAATTACCTCATTAATAATATTTCCATGGCAACGCCAGAATATAATGCATAATACATACGCTTAAGAAAACTTTTCAGGCACGAAGAGAGAATATTATATAAGGAAAAAAAACAAAAGTAAAACGAGATCAGACAAGTCTAGAACACATGAATTTTCAAAAGAAATTACAGAAAAATGCCACAAAATATGTCCCAGGAGTTGAAAAAGAAATATACGGGGTAAATTTAGTTAGATATCTGGTAAGAGAAGGGGCCAGCACCAGAATCTGAGTCCAAAGAAAGTGGCATCTAAAAAGCTTTTCCACGTCTCAAGATTCCTACACAAAAATGCACACCTCCCAGGCTTCAATTCTCCAACTATTCAATCTAAAGAACCTTTGGACCTCAGAACAGTTTTCCATTACCTTAAACCTAACTACAGTAGTTAACAGTACAAAGAAACATTGCACGAGCCATAGGTTTTCCACTAAGTGAGGTCAACAACAACTAATTATCCACACCAAAAACATACAACTATAGAGAGAGAATAAAAAACAATTGCAAAAGGGGCAAAAGGACAGAACATAAGAAAAGAAGGGATTTCAACAACTGTTATTTACTGGCACTATGATCGAGACTGAAACTCACTATAAAGTGGAAACACCAATTTCCATTATGATCATGATTCCTTAAGAGAATTAATCCCTGGCTTAAATATTATGTCCAAAGTGGACTTTTTTGTCAGAGAGCCAAACCTTATAAGCTTGTAGTTTCTATAGAAGTTATATCCCACAAGAAGTTATCCGACCAAAACATTGTTTTTAAGCTTCAATCTTGCCAAAGGGATTGGCCACCTTTCTCACTCCAATTACCTGGATATTGGAGGTCAAAAAACACTGCACCGACAGTGAATCTATCTACTTCAGCCAAACATATCAAACAGTAGCACCCAAAAACTCCGAGGCTTGTCACATTGCAAAAGTAAATGGCTATGCATTTCACCACAGTATATATAAATAGGACAAATATCTGGTGAAAGAGCACAACTAGGTCTATGTACTTGCAGTAACTCTTTAGCATTGAGCCTGTAGAGAGTGGGTATCCATGCAAAGAGCTTTATCTTTGAACGAACCTTGCTTTTCCAAAACCAATTGCCAAGAGGTAACTCAAAACAATTAGGGTGAGTGTTGGGTAAGGTGTTGAAAGAAGGCTTTGCATAATAAAGTCCAGAAGGTTCCTAGGTCGAGCCTGCATCTGGTTGCAGCGAATGACACTCGAGCAGGTTGAATAAGGTTACAAGTCATCGATCTCCCTATTGAACAGGCTTCTAAAAAATATAAAAATCCGAAGTGATAGTTTCATTAGTAAAGGGGACAAAAAACATAACAACAAATGTGAAGCCAACTTCTACTTTTCAATCCAGTTCATCCAAGAACTTCCAAAACCTTCCTCGACAGGAGTAGAGGAAACAAATCTCAACACCTTGTGCTCCAAGACCAATTCTGGACATAGTAGTTTTACAAGTGACATTTCACAAAGATGAACACATATATTCCCACATTGTCAAAAAAAACACCAGCACATATGCCTCTGGGACCCCTGGTGCAAGATTTTCACATATTATAACTTTTTTCCAAGCTTTGACTTTGTTGATGATCTATAATGGAAGATCTTGATAGATGACAACTTTGTGTACCTTTCAACCTTCTCGATAAGTTAGACAGAAAATACAATGTTCAAAAGATAAATATGATTACATGCTGGTCTGAAGCATATTAAAGTTCATATTCCTCAACCGTCTAAAGTACCCGTTGTCAATCTACCACAGTAACAACAATTCACCTCACTGCAAGCAAACACCACCATTTCAACCTCCTAAAGACCAAGTTATTAAAGCTATACTTCCACTCTAAGGTGAGTAATCATAAATCTGAGGATTCTATAGAAAAAAAATAAAGTCTTACAATTAAAAAAGACAAGTTCAGAATTATTTCAAAAAAAAAAACAGATAAGTTCAGAAAGGAAAAACGAAATCTTATAGGCCATGATGGATGGGAAAAACAAAACGCTACAAATTTCCTCCTAGTTTGTACCATGCTTGCTTGTTTGATTAAGTGCAAGCAAGCAAATATGGAAAAATTTTGAGAACGCAGATCTCATCGATATAATTGATTAATTTGAAATTTATATCAAAAAATTATTAGATAAAATGCAAAGTGCCTCAGTTATATTCACGAGTAATTCCAAATACTATGTGCTATGGAGCTCCTAAAATAACTCGCAGCTATTATACAAAGACCTAACAGGACTTGGTGCAGAAAGTGGCCAATTAATTCAAATACGAACCAGCAAAATATTTATCCCAAAAAAAGAAAAAAAAACCAATGATATAAAGAGCAATCCATGACTTACTCGGAAATTCCTTCATACACAGAACCGAATGAGCCCCTTCCCAGAAGCTCCCCCTTCTCCCAATACGTAATGATTCGTCTGAATCTATCAATTGGAGAGATATTTGTTCTCTCCGTTGTAGTACTGGATGAATCGTCATCGTTAGAAGTGGTGAAAGAACATGATTCCGATAAAGTTGCAATCTCCCCTATCATTGGCATATTCTGTTCCTCTTCCCTCTTCATGGTTTCTCCACTGATTCTTTCTTGCTCTTCTCCTACTTCCTCATCAGAAAAGAAAGAATTTAACACTCTAAGATCTTCTTTTTCTTCTACTTCGTCAGAAGAAGAGGAAGAACTTAACTCTCTAGACATAAGGAAAGAATCTCTTTCACTTTCCGGTGCAAAGCCTCTCAGCAAATCCCAAGTCGAGCCCTGGTTATCCATAGCCGGTAGCTTCATCGACGGCGGCGGCTTTAACGCTGGTGGTCTGATTCCCTTAATGCCACCACCACCAGTAGTAATAGCGGGTACAGAACACGCGTTCGGCTCAGGTGACTCATTCCGAGTGACCACGTAAGCATCCCTACTACTGCTCGGACCACAACTCAACACCCTTCCACAGAATTCATCAGCACCAGCAGTACGTGAACAACCCATGTTGGACTGATCTGACTTGGAACGAGTCAACTCGGTGTCTTCCCAATCTCTAATTCTAACACTATCTGAAACCCTATGACACAAGTTCCCAACAAGCGCTTCTTCAATCTCTTGTTCCTCCTCCTTGGGACCATCCAGCCGCTGCAACCTAGACCTTGGGAGGATGTCTGAGGAGGAGCGAATCTTGCTATTCTCCCAGACAGCCGTGGGAATCGCGAAATCCTCGGGTCCCGACAGGCCAAGGCTCCAGCAAATACGGTTGATCTCGCCGGCGTTTCCTTCTATGCGGAAACTAGTGCGATCGGGCAAGTCGACCGACCACATGGTGGAAGACGAGGAGCTAGAGGAGTTATCGGGCGAGTAAGGATACGACGGCGCGTTATAGTCTACGTACTTCAACGCATTACGGCGCTCGAGTTTCGGCTTCCTCGGTTTCTTCTTCGAGTCCATGGCGGCCGTTTTCTTGCTATGAGTGAAGAATCGGGGTAAGTGATGCATAGAGAGCAAAATCCATGAAAATTCTAACGTTTAATAGAGTGAATAGATGTGAGTAAAGGCTTTGAACAGCTAGTCGATTTCTTTTTTCATTCTTGCCTTTGTTCTCTTCAACTTTCCCGGGAAAAATGGCGAGAAAACACGGTGGAGATGGCTGACTGGTGACTAGAGATGAGGATGGAAGACAGGCGGAAAAAAGAGACTGGTAAACGCCGACGACGAAGAGAGAGAGAGAAAACGCGGTGCCACGCGGAATGAAGAGGCTAGTGACGGGGATTGGTGAAATTCAGATACCTTTTTAAATTTGGCTTAGTGATGGGACCCACCCCAAAATGATACAGTAAAAAAATAATTTAAAAAAAATCACTCTGCCGTCGTCATCTTCCAGCGTCAGCCAAGAGGTAATTACCATTTCATTTATTTAGTGCATTAAACAAGGACAACCAGTACGATTCAAGGAAAGTCGGATGTCTTCTACTTAACGAATATAAATAGTAGATGAGCTAAAACTGAGTACAGCTGCAGGCCCATCGTTCACCCTCCTCAGGAGCTTGCTGCTTTAGTTCACATTGAAGCTAGGGCAATTTTTTTCCCTTCTGGTTTGTTTCTTGTGTTGTCTCTTGCATCCAAATAGCGACCTTCCTCCGGTGGCTACATAAATGATAATTGAAAATAGCAATAATAATGATATAAGTGATGTTACATCGTAATGATAAAAACAACAACAATAACAGTTATAATAATATTTGACGATATCTACGTTAATAATAACGATAGTATCAATTCTTATTGTAGTAACAACAATGATAATGTCTGTTGTGACAATACAAATAATAATAATAATGACAATGATAATATTAGTAAAAATTATCGTAATATAAATATTATTAATACAAAAATATTAGTGATAATAATAACAACAAATATAATATAATAGTAATAACGATATCAACAATTATAATAATAAAAATAGACACGAACAATAATCGTGGTAAAATAATTGTAGCATTATAAAATGTGATAGTAATGGTGAGTATAAGTGATGATAGCAACAATTACAGTAATAACAGTAGTAGTTATAATAATGATAATATCAATAACAGTCGTAAAGATATAGCAGTAAGTGATAGTAACATCAATAATAATAATAGACGTAATCAATAAAAGTAATAATAATAACAATTATAATTGTTATGACATTCGTAATAATTGTACAACATAAGTATAATAGAAATTGTGAAAATGATAATGATGATAATAATAAAAACGATGAATATAGCAAATATAACATTGTTAAATGCACAAGACGTGGTGGTAGAATTTGTGGACTTGGTGGTTACAACAACAATTGTAATGTAATAATGGTAATGTCAATTAAGTGAATAGTAATAGCAATAATAACAATTATTGTGTTATTATTAAATAATAAATATGAATAAAAAAATATATTTTAGTCTCGTAATATATTATCTAATTAGGTGATAAATATTAGTTATAGCATTTGTGTAAAATAACAAATGTGAATATCAAACGGCATTTTAGTATTTTTAAGAAATTATCTAATTAAGTAACAATTATTTTTTATTGTATTAAACACGTGAATCTAAAATAATAATAGATAACAAGAGTTGTAAGGAGATTACTAGTAATTTTATTAATTGATTTTATTTGGCATTGGAAATCAAAGGTCATAACCAATTTTCATTTATATATAGTCATGTGGTTAAGCAAAACTATCCTTCCCCTACATTTTTACTGAATATTATCTACCAAAACAAAAATCTTAAAATTTGAAGATAATAAAAAACTGTCAATGTTATTATTTTTATTATAATTTGTAAATATCAATGTTATTGAGCTTACAAGAGAATTAGTCTTTCGTAATTTTAACTAGATAAAACAATATCTATCTATTAATATCAATTAGATAATTTTAATTTTTTTTTTAAATTATATATATATACATGTACCAACTTCTAAGCAAATTGGTAACCATAAGTTTATATAGTGTTTAATTAC